CCGGAGGCTGTTGACGGGGTGAGCGGCTGCGTGGCAGATGCTCGGGTCAGCCCGGCTATCTGCTGAGCGGCTCTGAATTTTGGGCGCGTTTTGCTCTTCGGCCTCGCGAACTCCGAAACTCGTCCTGCGCTGGCTCTCGGGGCCGCCCTGTTGCCCGTCGTCACCTGGCTTAGCCACCCGTCCGGCGGTCCGACCGCTGAGATGCCTCCGTTTATCCCTCGCCGGGGTTAGCGGCGTTAGAGAGAAGGGTTTTGGGGTGCTAACGCTTCCCGGGCCGGACGGAAGGGGTTTCCCTCCCCGGCAGCCTTGCACGCCAGGGCCGGCCGCGAGCACGCAGGTGCCTTTGCCGCGCAGCGCTCCGCTTCCCGCCTGCTCCTCGACCTGCCCCGTAACCCTCCCCTTCCTTATTCCAGAGAGGGAAGGGAAAAAAAAAAGCTGCTTATGCAATTTCTGCTGTTCTTTGTTTGCACGCTTGCCAGGAGGAACTACTATTCTTATTCCTATTACCCGTAAGTAGTCGTTCTCCTTCTCTTTTCCTCCCTCGCTGCCCCTTTTGAGTCTGTCCTTGAGAGCTCCTACTTGGGGTAACGTGACGGTGAATGCCACTTGGCATGACTGTTCCGTTCTTCATAGGCAAATGGTGATGGGAAGGGTAATGCTTGCACCTCGGTTGGACTAAATGATGGAAGCAAACAGCTACAGATACAAGTTTTAGCGATTAAGGCAAAGCTTGGCCTGCATGTTGCAGCAGACCCCTATGCAGGAGTTGAGATAAGTTGTGTGTACATTCTTGCAGCGCTATATGTATGTGAGCCTGGACTCACTGGCTTGGAGCGTACCCACACAGCGGCAGATAAGTCATTATAGGCAAAGCCATCAGTGAGTGAATGCTCTAAGAGGGGTCTAACTCATGTTAATTCTAACTCATTAGTATAAGGGTCAAGTTTTAAGTTTATTACTCATCTATCTTGTTTTTGTGTTTTCTCCTATAATAGATCTGTTCTTTACTAAATGCTTTCATATAGGAGTAAATAAATCTGTCTTGTATTTATTACCCTGTGCACACGTGTATGTATGTGTTATTTGCTCTGTACCTATTTTGGTCTCCCTACAGAATACATTAGGTTTACTCTTGCTTTCCTGAGGAGCGATTTCAAAAAGCCCATGCCAAGTTAGACTACAGCATAGAATCGAAGAATCTGAGTTGTAAGAACAAAAGAATCAGTGAAAGGCGCATATAATCGATGAAAATGGGTGCTGAAATGCTCTTGAGTATCAGAGAGATTGTGACTTTGTGATACTTCTGGCATCTGGAAAACCAGGCCAAAGTCGACAATCGTGAAATGTCCTCAAGTAGCGTAAGATTGCATGGCCGTTTGATGTTACTCTTTCTTCTTTCTCTCTTTGCTTGACTCCTTTCAAGTCACAAAATGTATTAGTGCAGAAGGTGGCACTTAAAAAAGGTAATCTCCTAGGCCTTCTTATAAAAGTAGTCTTCATGGTTACCATCCGTTATGTATGTCAGGTCAGGCTTTATAAAATTATTAAGGGCGGCGGGCTGGCACCGCTCGCGGGTTCGCCCTCTCCTCCCCTTAGCAGAGCCGGGACGGCTCGGTAGACGTCGGACCCAGTTCCCCGGCCGAAACTGGGCTGGTGGATGGTCTTGGGGTGGGATCTTGGATCACCAAGCGTTCGGCCGCGCTTACGTGTGTTCGTTCCTCCCCGTTGCAACCCACCTCCCGACCCCTGCAGAAAACCCGTCAACATGACCAAAGCCACGATTAACTACCGCCACGAGAAGACGCACATGATGAGCGCCATCGACAGGAGCTTCACGGACCAGAGCACGCTGCAGGAGGACGAGAGGCTCGGGCTCTCCTTCATGGACGCGCACAACTACAGCAACCGGGGTAAGGCTTCTCCGGGGCTCCAGCGCAGATGCTTTACCCCGTTTGCAGCCTGCAGCGTGCGACATCGCAGGCTTGTCCGCGCTCGGGGGGTGAACAGTCGTGCAGGTATATAAAAACGTATGCATCAAGGGCATCAGTCTAACCTACATCGATAGTAATATTTTTTATAATCCACGCTTTGCTGAAGGAAAAAAAAAAAAAACAAAAACTTGCGGGCAGCTAGAGCCGGATAAACGGTGTGTGCGTCTTGACTTCTCCCGGAGCAGAGAGCCGAGCCGTTGGTCGCAAAGACTGAGGCCGTTGGCAGTAATTCAAGTTCAGACGCCGGCTCAAACGCTGGATGCGGCCTCCTGACGTTTGGGCTCGCCCCAGCTGTTTGGCTTGCGCTGAGGTTGACGCAGGCCGGCTCTTAGGCTCTAGCGTGGCAGGCTTTCCGCTGTTCTGAGCGGCCGCGGGATTTGAAGGGTTAAAGAGACACAGCCTTCACGTTAGAGGGAGACTGATAATTTAACACCCACTGGAGGATGCGTCTTTGTGCTGATTTAGTTGTAAAATAACTCGTTCGATGCCCCAGTTTCAACCATATGCTAATAACATCTGTTACAGTAACTTCAAGATGCCGCTTGCACACATCTCTTCTGTACCGACTGCTGGATTAATGCGATTCCCAGCATTGTCTCGTGCATAATAGAAGCCCAGAGGGCAAACTTCGCCGCCGTTGTATACATCTGGATAGGTGTATTATTTTTTAGTTACTATCCTGTTGCGGCTTCTCGAGATGCTCCTCACCAGACTGGTTGGTATGGAGATTTGCTCCTCCGGCTCGCAGCTGGCGGCTCAGACCTGCAGCCTCCTTCGGGTGCCCGGTCCCTCTCCCCTACCGTGCCTCAGTTTCCTTAAACGTAACCAAAGTCAACAATACCCCTCGCTGAAACTGGGGCGACGTGAGAGGATCCGCAGCGTGCGGCTGTGAAGATCTCTGCCGGCAAGGAGCCGGTGTCACGTTGCAAACGCTTGCAATTCATTTTTGAGTACGCTCAGCATCCCACGTACCTCTGAGTCGTACCAGGCAGCGGAGAGGCTGTCCCCGTTCCCTCCCTCGTCGTCCCCTTGGTTTAGTGACACGTTTGCAGTCTGCAAGGGAGCTGTTTCCCATCGCGGAGGTTGGCGGACCGCGTACCCGGGGGCTACGATGCCTGCCGGAGGATGTGCCTCTGTGCGGACACCTGCCCCGCTGCGCGTGCCGATGCCGCGCGGGAGCCTTGAGATGCAGGCACGAGGCGAGGGGCAGCTCCTTGCCGTTGGAGCCGAGCAGGGAAGCTTTGCAAACGAGCCGCCAAGGGTGGTTTCAGCAGCGTTGTTAGGGAAACAGCTCCCAGAATTTGCTCTCGGAGCAAAGCTGCTCGTCAGCGGCGTGCAGACGGCGCTCCTGGCCCGACGCTGGCGCTGAGGGAGGGCAGCATCAGCTGCAGGCATCCAGCAGAAAGCATCAGGTTTCGTACAAACCCAGATTTAAGAATACTGCATGTTGGCCGGGCAGCAGCCGTATGGGACCCGGCCACGACAAAGGCGGGTGAGGTCCTACTCTGGCTCCACCTCTGCTGTTAATTATATCGCAGAGGCATAAACCAGGTAAATTCTGCATGAATTACCCCATTAAACAGCAGCAAAGTCCATTTGTGTCAGTGCTAGAAATAAGGCAGTGATATCTAGCAGTAAGGAAAATTAACCGTTAGGCTGGGCTGGATTCGTCAGCAACCCAGTTTTTGAAGCCAAGGCTTGAAGTGAAGAGTGTTTGTGCGCCTGGTTCTTATTGGCCTGGATGTGAGTTAAGTGCTTGAATCGATGGGAAACAAGCACGTAAACTCCTTTAAAATCTTTCCCACCGTCTTTCCAAGAGGGCTGCTGTGAATGAGATTGGAGATAGACAGAAAAGACTGGTGTTAGCCTAAAAGGTTGTGATGGGCCTTTTCAGGTTGATATTGCAGGAAGAGCTGCAGAGCCTTGCAGAGAGCACGCTGGGTCTGGCCCGCCTGCAAAGCTGGGGGGGTCAGCAGCAGCTTCTGCCCTGGGACGTTTCCGAGTCCCCTCTCGAGCCTCCTCCGCATGCGTGCGGAGCCGAGCGGGGATGCGGTACAACCCTTCACTCTCTCGGCGACCCCCATCTCTCCTGTCCCTTCTGCAGTTGACCAGCGGAGCAGCGTGGTCAATGAGTCCAGCAGCCTGCTCGGAGGCTCTCCCCGCCGGCAGTGTGGCCGCAAAGGGTCTCCATATCACACCGGGCAGCTCCATCCTGCTGTGCGGGTGGCCGATCTCCTCCAGCATATCAACCAGATGAAGACAGCAGAGGGCTATGGCTTCAAGCAGGAGTACGAGGTGAGAGCATCGGACGCTGGTGTCTTGGCTGGGGGGGGGCGAAAAGTAGGAGGGACAAGTGCCCCGTGACTTGGCAAGGTAGCATGCACATGTAGAGGATGCTCCAGCCCTCTCCTGTCTGCAGCAAATCAGCCAGGCTTTCCCACAGTGGCTGGAGATGCTTTTCCCTTTCTCAGGTCCTGCTGGGCATCTGCACGACAATGTCAGATCCCTGCCAAGCCCTCCCTCTCTCCAGCATGCTTGTCCTCTGATAAAAGGACTCTCTTCTTCCGCAATCTGGGAGCACCCAAGACCAGGGAGATCCTAGGAAGGGGGTGCAGGAGAGGGTGATCCCCTCTCTTCCAGGGGGAGAGGAGTCACCTCCAAGAGACAGTGGGTGCATCATGCCCTTCCTACCGTAGCGGGCTGGAGCACTTGTAACAGAGCGAGGTGTTTTGCAAGGCTCTGCTGCTCCGCACCCAGTAGGGTTGATTTCTTGATTCCTTGGTGTCCCACAGGTCTGGCGATTGAAATTTCCCAGTGAAATTACTGTTTAATGCTTAGTTGTTTCAAGTGCAGGAGCTTTTTTCCCCCCTTTTATGTACTGGACAAACCAGGGCTGGCTATAATCATTAGTACTCCTTGAAAAGCTGCTGTATGTTCTTGGAACTAGTCATTTGAAAGCACTCAGATACTATGGGAGGGGAGAAAACATGTAATTTCCTTCCACTTTCCTCCTCTTACACCAATCTATGCATGTTACTGTTATTACACACAAACCTATTCTGTGCTGGGGAGAGAAGGGGCTCGGGAGGTAAAAAAGGAACCTGGAAAAAACAAGCAGCGTATAATTAGTGGAAAATGGGGCATTTCGTGGATGCAACAGAAATGTGTAGCTGGCAAACGGTGCTCAGGAGCTGTGGCTGGGGCTCTGGGGCTGACAGGACCCTGCTGCCAGGTGGAAAGGGGAAACTGCTGGGGCAGCTGCTTTCACCCCGGGGAGGTCATGGGGAATGGGGCCAGGGAGACGCCCACAGCCCTGCCCCTTGGGCCACAGCAGGCTTCTCTTCTTTTCAGAGCTTCTTTGAAGGCTGGGATGCTTCGAAGAAGAAAGACAAGACTAAAGGGAGACAGGATCACGTGTCAACATGTGAGTACCTTTAGCAAAGGCTTAGGAACGCCAGAAAACCTGAAGAACCTTCTGAAAGGCTGGGGTTTTTGTTGGTGACTGCCAGATTTATAGCAAGAATTAACTGTGCTTGGGTTTGATTGGTCAAGGGCAGCAGAGACCTCCTTGTTCAGCGCAGGGCATCCAAGCCTCAGAGCTCCTGTCGGGCATTGGCCACAAAAACACACACAAGGGCTGGAGTGCAGCCAACACCAGCTCCTGGAGCTGGATGAGTCTTGAAGACAACACATCTTGGGGTGGTTCAAAAAGTGGCAATAATATCACCGTTATACTTTGGGCGGTGCTGAAAGACCCTAGATAACCTGGACTTTGTTTTGCTATATAGGCTTAAGAAAAAGTGCAGCCTGGCCCCACAGTGCTCCTGGTGTGAAAGTCCAAGCAGTGGTGGATGAGGCAGAGGGAATAAGTAATGAGTTTTAAGGACCCTCCAAACCTCTCCAGGGCAGCAGAGACTCAACTTCCTACATCCAAACCAGGGAGCAGGTGACCTGCTTTGGATGTAGGCCACTGGGGACCTTGCTGTCGCGGCCAGGGCATCCGTTCCTCTTCCAGGCTGGTGCTTTCTGGGCCATCCGGGGCCGGTGTGTGGCCAACCCCATGTAGGACCTCCCATCTCTGCTCTCTGTCCTACCACCACAAGTTCCTGCGGGCGGGGGTCCTGCTGAAAATCCCACACATTTGAATCACCAGCCTGGCTTAAAGGCTGTGACTGGGGAGTGAGGGGTTCTGGCAGTGTTTTTGGTGACAGGCAGGTGCAGAGACAGGAGACCGAGTGCGGGGTATGACGCACCATCGCCAGGCGCACCCCTCCATGCTCTTATGGTACCTTCCTCGGCTTGCTTTCCAGACGACCGCCACCGAGTCAAGCTCCATCCGCTACTGGGAGATCCCAATTCGGATTATATCAACGCCAACTACATTGATGTAAGTCAAGATGGTGCCTGCTGGGGTGCGCCCGGACCCACAGTCCGCTCCCGAGGCCGCGGGCACCGGCGCGCTGTCCGGGTTGAGACGAGCAATTCCCAAGGGATGGAGGCCTGTCCCTGAAAAATCAGCAACATGAAGGAGCTGAGACAGCCCAGGACAGGCTAGATGGGGACTGAGCCGGGTGTCCCTAGCAGACTCCTCGCTCGCTGCCTTGAAGAGCCCGTCTGGTTTATGTCCGTCAGCAATTTCTGCTTATTCCGTGTCACTGTCCTCTAGAGCTCCTCCGTCTCCCTCCTTCTCTCCTGTGCTCCTCTCTGTCGCCCTCCTTTCTCATTCGCTTTGTCACCTCTTCTTTTCCGTGGTCTTTTCCTGTTCCCGTGGCCCAAGGGATCTCTGTCCTCTGTGGGCTCCCTGGTCGCGGCGGCGCGTGCGAGTCCGGGGGAGCTCAGCCTGGGGTCTCCCGCGGTGGACGGCTCCGAGCGGCGTGCCGTGCCGGGGACCGCAGCGGTGGCCTCGCTCCCAGGGGACGCTAAGACAGAAGGAGACACGAGTCTCGGCTTTAGCGAACGGCAGGCACCGGCAGACGGGACCCATCGCCCCTGCGGCGGGTTGTCCCCGTGCCCAGGCAGCGTCCCCACGCCTGTCCCCGTCCTTGCGCGTCCTTTCTGCCCTGTGGCTCTCTGGGCCCCGCTCCGGCCGGTGACGGTGCTCTAACCTGTCTCTTGAACTGTGTCTCACTAATGTCTCTGTCTCTGATCTTTTTCTTCTGAACCTGTGTCCGATTGGGATCGTTAAAGATTCGGATTAACCGCGAAGTAAGTAGATGGTTTGCCTCTCCTCTCTTCTCTCTCTGCTCCTGTTCTCCTCCCAGGCGCTGGGCCTTTGCACCAGCGAAGCATCCTGATAACATTTACGGAGAAGGTGGATATAGTGCAGGGAAGGGGGAATTTTTGCTCTGCGCGGCACAGCTTTTGCAAAGCACCCTGTGTCCCCCAGCGTGTCGGGGAAGTGGGGCTTTCCTTGGGTCAGCTTCGGTCGCTTGGAAAAAGAGTTGAATTTAACCAGAGAAAATCCCTTCGACCTGCTTAAAAGGACTCAAAGGGCTTAGAGGAGCCTCCATCACCTCTGCGGGAGATGGTCAAGACTGCTAGAAGTGCGGCGGGGTGCTGGCGCCCGCAATCCCCGCGGTCCCTTCGTCTCGGTGTCGCTGCCGTTTCCGCGAAGCGGCTGGACCGGATTTGAGCGCCCGGCGAGCGATCTCGTGCTGCCGAAGGGGCCTCTGCGTTTTCGTGTGCTTCATTTCCTTACCCATCTCTCGAAATAGCCCGATTACAGCGTGTTGGGGACTGCTCCTGCCCCGCGGGGGAAAAAAGCCACGTGTGCGAAAACGAACGCCGCCGAAATGGCCCAGGGTGGGAGGTGGCAGCTGGAGCCTCTCCTGCCCCGATAGTGGCCTGGTTAAGATGTGCTCTGCTATTCCCTGTTAAGCGTTAGTGATGTTTGCAGCAAGTGGCTGGGATGAACGAGGGGAGCGGGGCCATTACTCAGTGCTGTGTGGCTGCATCGGACTCGGATATTATTAATAGGGCTCTCGCGATGATATTACCCACTGCCTTCAAGCGGTTGTCGGCGTGGCGAGCAGGAGCAGGCGGGTGTCACGTTGCTGAGGGTTTTCTTGAGGGAGGGAGATGAAGTTTGCAGGTTGCACCAGCCTTTGGTGGGACATGACCCCTCCGAGGATGGGGTGCGCCAGGTGCAAGGTGATGATTCTGCGCAGTGCGGAGGGCTCGGCTCTCCGGCCGCATGCAACTCTGGTGTTTCCAGAGCTTTTGCCATCTTTATGGTGTTTTTGGAGGGCTCAGGCAGGGCAGGGACTGGTTTGAACGTGAATCAGCTGGAAATCGGGTCTGAACCTTCTCCGTCACGGAGAACGATGAGCTCCAGGTGGTGGAGCTCGTGCTGGTGGCCAGAGCCTGGCTGTAGACCGTGGTGGATGTGTGCAGTTGCTGCCAGTTGGGTCATTGGGCAGCGTTTGGGTCATTGCCCCGTGGCAAACCGCCGTGGGGCAGGATCCAAACGCCATGGCGTCCTTCCCTGGGGACTGATGTCTGTCTTTGTCTTACAGGGTTACCACAGGTCCAACCATTTCATAGCCACCCAAGGTGAGTGACCTCCTCCGTCCTGTACTAGGGAGGGAGAAGGGGAACCGCAACGGCGTTGCGGCCGTGAGCTCTTTGGGGCAGGGCTTGCTTGTAGCCATGAGTAGCCGGGCGGCGGGGAGGCTCGGCTCTCGGCTTTGCCCCGTGTCCATCCCCGGTGTCCTTCCCTCCCTGCCCTGCAGGTCCCAAGCAGGAGATGGTGTACGATTTCTGGCGCATGGTGTGGCAGGAGCACTGCTCCAGCATCGTCATGATAACCAAGCTGGTGGAGGTGGGACGGGTAAGGCCCCGTTCGGTCCCTCTCCCTCGCGGCTCGGCGAGAAACCCCCTCCGCGCCCCTGAGAGCCTGACCCGTCTGCTTGCTGCAGGTGAAGTGCTCCAAATATTGGCCGGATGACTCCGAGATGTACGGGGACATCAAGATCACCTTGGTGAAGTCGGAGACGTTGGCGGAGTACGCTGTGCGGACGTTCACCCTGGAAAGGGTAAGCTGCCGGCTATCTGTGCCGTCCTGTCCAAGAAACATTTCCATGGTCCTATTTATCTACTCCAACTTTCCTCTCCGTGGAGGTGGGACCTCTGAGGTTTCCTTTGCGTCTTCCACCATGGGCAAATGCCCCGAGGCCTTGTCCCTGCTCCGGAGTCTGGGTCCCCCTGTCCCTGCGCCTGGGTGCCAGCACCGCTTTTGTTTTTTGGGGTCAGCAGCGAGCGTTTAATTTCCAGGCAGGCACCAGGTAATTGCAAAGGGGGATAAAGGATGATTTTTCTCCTCCGGTCTGGAGCGGAGGTTATGTGGCAATTACTTTCCAGCTTGGCACCTAGGGACAGAGCCAGCATAATTTCCCCCTTCATCTCCAGGAACATGAAATTACTGTCTAGTTAGGAGGCAGGTAGCAAAGATCCTTGTGGAACAAATCCAGTCCTCGCCGAGGCAGGCGCTGGCACCCCGGCGGCCGGGGCCGCGCTGTCCTATGCTCGTTTTTCACCTGCTCGCAGCCGCTGGGGAGAGGAGACCTCGTCTACCGGCGCTCTGCAAACGGCTCACCGTGGCTCGGCTGGGCGCGAACGGGGCAGAATCGGGGACCTCCCCGGGACGTCGGCCCTTTTGGGGGCCCGGCGTAAAGCGAGGAAAGCTTTGGTGGCTTCTCAGCCCCACGTCCTCACGCTGCCTCGCTCTTCCCTTGCAGAGGGGCTACTCGGCCCGGCACGAGGTCAAGCAGTTCCACTTCACGTCGTGGCCCGAACACGGCGTCCCCTACCACGCCACGGGGCTGCTGGCCTTCATCCGGCGGGGGACGGCGCTCACGGC